TCTGTTTTCCTATGATTTGCAGGGCAGGCCCAAGAATTAGCATTTTTATCAGCAAGCTATGCTGAAATCACTGTTCTGTGATGTGCTGCCTCCTAGAGGAAAAGCTAGATATGAACATATTCAGGTCTTTAGAGCTCCAAATTGTATCCTAGGGTAAGTTTGAAAAGTAGATAGTCTAAACTTTGAGTGAGCAAAAACCCAAGTAGTTTTTAACGAACTATAGTGTTTTGATGCAGTCTTGATTATAGTATCTTGTACAAAGAGGTACACATACTTGGTGAGTTAGATGAGAATAGAGGAAATAATTCCCTTTGCATTTGTGAGTTAGATTAGAATAAAGGAAATAATTCCCTTTTCTTCCTGCAAAGCTCTTAAACTGTCATTCATCCACTTTACAAATACTTGTGAAGCACTTAATAGGTGTTAGGCAAGCAATTTGAGGTTACAGTTTAAAGTTAAGTATAGGGACTGGCAAGATGGCTAAGTGATTAATAATGTTCTGCTCTTGCAGGGGACTTGAGTTAGGTTCCCAGGACCCTATGGGTGCCTAACAACCACTCGTTACTCTAAGGGCGTACTCTCTCACACTCACACATGCACGTATACACGCATGCATACACATAATTAAAATGAATTTTTAAGTGAATGTATAATATGAGGTGGCACGGGGGAAAACATCAAGCCAAAGAGAAGGGGATGGCTCCAAGAGGCATATCTGGAGATGGCAGGGAGCTAATTTACACACTGTTTAGTAAGAAACTGATTGGTAAGGTGACATTTGAGAGAAATAAAAAAAGAACAAGGTGTGAATATATAATTGAGGAAGAGCATTCCAGCTAGAAGAAAACAAACAAGCTATGGAAGGAGCCAGAGCTAGGTTGGTTGAACTCATCTGGGATGCTGTTATGTTAACCAGATTATAACACAGAGATAAATTTTATTCTGTTGCTCTTAGTAGAGAATGAAAGAATTTTAATGGTACATGCTTATAATATAAAACAAATGAGGGCTGGGGAGATGACTCAGTGGGTAAGAGGGCTAGTTATTAAAACATGAGGACCTGAGTTCATATTCCCAAGACCCATGTAATAGTTGGCACAGAGCACTGTAAATGTCATGCAAGGCAGAAATGGAAGGATCTCAGCAACCCACAGGCCTGCCAGCCTAGTTAACATTGTGAGCGTTGGGTTCAGTGAGACCCAGTTTTGGGAAAATAAAGGGCCATCAAAATGGTTTAATGGGTAAAAGCAATTACTGCATAAGTCTGATTACTAACTTCAATCCCCAGAACTCATATAAAAGTGGAAGGGGGTAGAAATCCAGACCTGATTCCACGAAGTTGTCCCCCAGCCTACTCATGTGCCAGCACATGTACACATACAATAATAAACTTCTTAAATGAAAAAGTCATGTATAGTATAGCATGAATATATATATATACACATACATATGACTATAAATTTATGTTTATTTCTAATTAAATGTAACTATATGATTTCCTCCCTTCAAACCTTCCAATGTCCCCCACTTCTTTTTGCCTTCTTTTTTTTAACTGTTATTATTACATAGATCTATAAATGCATGCATATATATAAATACAATGTACTGAGTTTGTTTAGCATTACTTGTATATGATTTCAGGGGTGACCATTTGGTATTAGATAACCAGTTTGGAGGCTCATCCCTGGGGAAGACTAATTTACCCACTTTTAGCATTCCTTGGTTGGCTGTAGTTCTTTGTCTATGGGTAGGACCCAGTAAAATTTCTTCCTTCCATGTTGACATGTCTATTGGTGTCATCCTTGTTTGGGTCTTGTTTAGGCAGCCATATTGTTGAGATATGAGCGAAGCTTCCCCAACATTTCTATGAGATCATCTCACAACTGACTTCCAAGTCCTCTGGCTCTTACAGTCTTTCTGCCCCCTCTTCCATGATGTTCCCTGAGCCTTAGGTGTGGGAGTTGTGTTGTAAATGTATCCATTGGGGTCCAATCAGTTGTTCTCTGAATTTTGACGTGTTGTGATTTCCTGTAATTGCATCCATCTGCTGCAAAGAGAACCTTCTTTAATGGGGGGGGGGGTGTGCCAGCTACACCTATCTGTTGTGTAAGTATTTAGAATGATGTTTTAGGAATTATGCTGGATTAGTAAACTGACAGTAGTAGGTCCTCCTCTGAGATTCATGACTTCACTAGCCCTAGGTGTTTGGCTAGGTTTACAGTATCAGGCATAAATTCCTCCTGCCAGCAGGTTTTAAGTCCAATTAGATGACTGTTGGTTACCACCAAGCTATGAGTGCCATTATTACCCCTGTATCTTGTTATGTTGATCACCGTTATGGTTCACAGGCATCACAGCTGGCTAGGATTGTTGATGGTTCCCTCCTTTGGAAGCTTGCATGGTTCCATGGAAGCTAGTCCTCAGGGAGGAGGCTTTCGGGTCAGATCAAAGGTGGATTCTCTGGGTCTTGTGTCTGAAGTGCACAGTGCAACAATAGGGACGTAACCTCCAATATCTGGGAGGCGACGAAGGGTAGCCCCAGTATCCTATATTGTTTTGGGTGACTCTTGTACGCCCTACCAACAACTCGAAACCTATATCCTGCTATTCCCCTTTCTTGGGCTCCACCTCCTCCTCCTAGAATCTCTTTTGACTTTTCAGGTCTTTGTGTGAACTCCAGGTGATATATATTCACATCTGAAGGGCTGGGGTTAGAAACCACAGACGAGAGTGAGAACATGTGCCTTTTGTTTTCTGGGTCTGGGTTGCCTCTCTCGATGTAATACTTTCTAATTCCATCAATTTACCTGAACATTTCCTAATTTCATTTTTCTTTACAGCTGAATAGTATTCCTTTGTGTATATGTACCACATTGTCATTGTCCATTCAAATATTGAAGGACATTGAAGTTATTTCCATCCCCTAGCTATTGTGAATAGAGCAGAAATGAACATAACTGGAAAATAAATACTCCCTGAGGACTAGCTTTCATAATACCAGAAGGTGCTATTCATGGTTCCATGGGAGGAAAGCAGCCAATAGTCCTGTCCATGCTAGATCCCAGCTCAGGTCCTCCAAGTAAGCATCTGTGTAGTAGGGTGTTGAGTCCTTCAAGCATATGCCAGGGAGTGGCACAGCTGGGTCATAGGGTAGATTTATTCTTAGCTTTTTAAGAATTCTCCACACTGATTCTCAGAGTAGCTGGACCAGTTTACAACCCCACCAACACTGAATGAGGGTTCTTTTTCCTCACATCCTTTCCAGTATTTGTTGTAGGTTGTTTTGTTGATGGTAGCCATTCTGACTAGAGTCAGAAAAGTCTCAAAACATTGTTTTGGTTTGCATTTCCATAATTGTTAAGGGTGATGAACATGTTTCTATCTCTTCTTTTGAGAACACTCTGTTCAGATTCCCAAGCCCATTTTGAATGTTTTTTCCCCCTCTTTGTTTTTGAGTTATTTATATCTTCTGGGTATTCTCCATCAGATATATATCTGGTGAAGATTCCCATTTTGCAAGCTCCCTGTTCACCCGATTGATTGTTTAGCTGTGCAGAAAGCTTTTTAGCTTTATGAGGACCCAGTTGTCAGTTATTGGCCTTAATTCTTGGGCAAAGAGAGTCCTTTTCAGAAAGTCTCTTCCTAGTATTTGTAGGGTACTGCTTATACTTTCTCCTAACAGTTTCAGGCTTCACATTGAGGTCTTCAATTCATTTGGACTTAGGTTTTGTGCAAGGTCTAATTTCCTTCTCCTGAGCATTGGATACTCAGTTTTTCCAGCACTACTTTTGAAGATGCTGTCTTCAGAGCGTGTCTTATGAGGGTACATGTTCAGTATGTATGAGGCCCTGGGGTCAAGCCCCAGCACTTCACTTGCTCCCTTCCCAAAGAAAATAGAGATGTCAGGAAAAGACTGTGACCCAGCAACGGCTGCTTAGTGTTTGTGGACTGCTGATTGGCACATGGGTGCACAGGGAAAACAAAATAGAGGCAGATGGATTTGCTCTTAGAAGGAAGACATTTAGTAGTAGATAGAAGCCTTGACAGAATTCAAAGACACAGATCTAAATTGTTGACCTCATAATGTTAAAAGACTATTTCTTCCAGAGAGGCAGGTCACAGTGGTTATGAAATGTAGGGTCATAGCTATGAGAACACACACACACACACACACGCGCGCGCGCGCGCGCGCGCGCGCGTGTGTGTGTGTGTGTGTTATACATATATATGTATGTGTACACAAAATTAGGTTTGTTTTGAGATGGGGTTTCATGCGAACCATGCTGGCCTCAAACTTGCTGTATAGGCTGAGGGTGACCTTGAACTTTTGATAGGAATCTTCCCAGAACAATCCGTGTAAAGGAGCAGCACTGTAGTCAGGTCTGCCCAGATTTAGTAATCTGACCAGTGTGACACAGATGGGTTCCAGGACATGTACTGTAATTCCATCTTTTTCCCTGTGTAAGTGACGTGTGTCTTCAGACGTGTTCTCTGAGCAACAGTGATAGATACGTACTGGGTTTTGCTTTTCTGTCTGTCCTTCTGAATAGTCTCAAGATTCTCAGACCTCTACTTCAGTGTTTCATGATTGCTTAACAATTCTTGGCCATCAAACTTTGAGATATTTCCTCTGCCCATTCTCTGTCTTCCTTTTGGGGATTTTAATTCTGTGTTTAAATAGTTTAATATGTCACTCTTGGGTATTCTGTTATATTAAACATTTGTTTTTTATTTTATTAAACTGTTTTAAGGTTCGGTGATTTCTGTTGAGCTATCTTTTGAGTCCATTGATTCTTTCTTTGACTCTGTCAAATTTACTGGCCAGCTGGTCAAAGGAATTTGTCCTTTCTATTGGTTTTCTCATTTTTAGCACTTCTCCTTGATTCTAGTTTGTGTTTCTTGGAGTTTTTTCAAATTTGTTCTTATTTTCCTTCTTCCCTATAGCAACCATAGAGGTGAAATTTAGGTCTGGTTATTGTTATTATTATTAGTAGTAGTAGTGTTTTAACATTTCTGTTTCTTATCTTAGGTTTAGAAAAGCCCCTTGACCAAAGACTGTCCCAGACAGAAAATCACTCAAACAGGCTCAGGTAAACAGGCAGTGGGAAGACGGATGCTGCGTTGAGGACCAGCCTACTAATTTGACTTTCTCAGGGTGAGTAGTCTTCTACATCAGCCTTTTCCCCTTCTGGATTTCCTAAAGACCATCAAAATAATTACTGCTTTTCTCTTGTTCAACCTAAGTTAAAGAAACATGGGTAATCTTTATGTGTCTTGTGTTTTTGAATAGGATATGGACTCTTAGATTGTAACACCTTGGTAATGATAGGTCTGTTAGAACCTGACAAAGGTCCTTTTTTTCCCCTGTCAATTCAGAACATCCAGAATCCTCCACCTATTTTACCTCTGTTTGAGCATAGTCACAATGTGTTTGTTCTTTGATTGACTTGAACATCTCAGTGTTATATTTGGTGGTGACCACATTGGTGGACAGATTGGCATACCTTTTCCTGCAGGAGCTGCAGAGGCTCCTGCTTGATTAACAGGTACAGAATGCCACAGGACACTGAGGGAGACTGATCCATTTGAGCTCAGGGGATCAGTTGCTGATGTTAGTAATGGTAGTATTCCAGCTGGATTTTACAAAATGATTAAGGTCTTGACAGAGAGATGGCCATGCTAGGTGTCTTAGAGTTTTTATTGCTTTGAAGAGACACCATGACCACAGCAACTCTTATAAGGACAATATTTAATTGGGGTGGCTCACTGACAGTTTCAGAGGTCAGTCCATTATCAGAATGGTGGGGAGCATGGCAGAGTGCAGGCAGACATGGTGCTGGTTAAATCTTGATCAAAAGACAACAGGAAGTCAACTGAGACACTGGGCAGTATCCTGAGCATAGGAAATCTCAAAGCCTGCCCCCACAGTGACACACTTCCTCCAGCAAGGCCACATCCACTTCAACAAAACCATACCTCCTAATAATGCCATTCCCTATGAGATTATGGAGGCTAATTCAAACATTCAAGCTACCGTATTCCACTCTCTGGCCCCCATAAGCTTGTAACACTATCATAATGTAAAATGTATTTAGTCCAACTTCAAAAGTCCCCATAGTTTATAACAATCTCAACAATGTTTAAAAGTCCAAAGTTCAGAGTCTCTTCTGAGACCGATGCAAACTCTTAACTGTAATCCCCTGTAAAATCAAAATCAAAAAGCAGATCATATACTTCAAACATATAAGGGCATGGGATATACATAACCATTCCAAAATGTAGGGAAGGGAGCATAGTAAGGAAATGCTAGACCAAAGCAAGACCAAAAACCAGCTGGACAAACTCTAGACTGTATTTTATGTCTGATGTCAAAACACTCCTCAGATCTCCAACTCCTTTCAGCTTTGTTGCCTGCAGCACACTTTCTCTTGGGCTGGCTCACTCCCTGTTAGCAGCTCTCCTCAGCAGGTATCCCAGTATCCTGGCATCTCTGACAACTTGGGTTCTCTAAGGCAATCCAGGCTTCAACTTCACAGCTTCAAGCAATGGACTCTACTAGGTCTCCTTTCAGGGACACCACTGACACATCCCTGGCCTCAGAGGTTTTCTTAATTCCTTTTCATAAATTGAAAACTTAGCTGGGTGGGATATTTCCCTGAGGTCACCACTCCCTTTATTCCATTTCTTAATCTGTTTATCTCCTTGAACACAGGACTTAGCTCCATTCCACTTCCTGAGACTCTTTTTCTCCTCAAATTTTACATTTTGTAATTTACCTTGCTCAGTTTGTTCTTTTTCATTATAAATCTTTATTAGAGTTACCAATAATAACTCTATACCAGGCTGTTTTGAGATTTCCTCTGCCGATGGAATTAATTCAAAAGTCTTCATTTTAGCCTCACTCATACTCTTTAGACTAGGGCAAAAAGCAGCCACTTTCTTCACCAAAATATCACAACACTGTCTCTGGGCCACATACTAACATTTTTCTCCTCTGAAACCTCTTGATCTCCACAGTTCAAATAGCTCTTAGCACCATTGTCTTCCCTGCTTCTACTAGTACAGCCCATTAAACAGTGCTTAAAGTATTCCACTGTTTTCCTAATCCAAAGTCCAAATTCCTGTGAAGAGACACTATGACCACGGCAACTCTTATAAGGAAAACATTTAATTGGGGTGGTTCACTTGAAGTTTCAGAGGTTCAGTCCATTATCATCATTGCATGGCAGAGTGCAGGCAGACATGGTGATGGTTAAATCTTGATCAAAAGACAACAGGAAGTCAGCTGAGACACTGTGTCCAGAGCATAGGAAACCTCAAAACCTGCCCTCACAGTGACACACTTCCTCCAACAGGACCATATATACTCCAACAAAGCCACACCTCCCACTAGTGCCACCCCATATGAGATTACGAAGGCAAGTTATGTTCAAACTACCACACTAGGCTAAGCTCACAGAACTTATTTGTGCCATGTTCACTGACAATTTACTATGCCCCTTTAGGAGCCTGGTTCTTTTCCTGTTGTTTTAACATCTTTTGTTGTGTTTTCTTTTTTTGTTATTTTTGGCTTTTTATTTTGATTTATTTTCTTCTAGTTCCTAGTGGTAGATCCTTTGGCACTAGGTCTGGAGTTTAGGGCCCAGAGATGTAGGGTCACTTGTGTATCTTCCAAGTAGAAGTTCTGGACAACATTACTTCTCTACTCAGCCTGTGAAGACCATTGGTAGCATATGGGAAGGAGAAAGGCTGCCTTGATATATTTTTGGAGAAAAATCTTCAGGGGATCCAGAAAAATACAAAGGAGAATCTTTAGTGTTCTCAAGAAGTTCTGTACCAACCCAGTGACTTCCTGTTTATAGTCTACTTCTGGCCTTTCTCCCTGACCTCTCCCACGCCAGGACAAATGAGGCTCAATAAAGGAGTAGATATTTGAAATATCTACCCCACACACACAAGGCTGGGCCTAATGGCCCATGCTTTTAATTCCATTATGAAGGAGGCAGAGGCAGGTGGCTTTGTATGAATTTTAAGCTAGCTTGGTCTGCATAACAAGTTCCAGGGCAGCCAACACTATATATAGTGAAACCCTGCTTCAAAAGAATAAGCCTACCCCATAAATAAGTAGGTCTGCTAATACTGGGAACTAGTTTATAAGTTAACATATACATTTTCTCCGGGGTAGGAAGTAAAACATCTATCTCCAGAAATGTCTTTGGAAAATAAAGAGCAACATGACCTTTCACCGAGGGACTTACCTGAAGAAGCCTACAGTAGTCCATCTGAGGTCCCCCTGGAGGCTCAAAGGGGATCAAGCAATGACGTCAAGCAGTTGGAGACCAATGATGGATGCAGACCTTATCGTAGGATTCACATGGAACCTCAAGAGAAACCAGATATTAACATCAAAAAAGTTGTCATCAGAAAGCTGCAGAAGAGTTGCCAGTGTAGCTCAGGCAAAGTCAGAAATATGATTTTTGATTTCCTTCCTGTTTTGCGGTGGCTCCCAAAGTACGACCTCAAGAAAAACATTTTAGGTGATATGATGTCTGGCCTGATTGTGGGCATACTTTTGGTGCCCCAGTCTATTGCTTACTCCCTATTGGCTGGCCAAGAGCCTATCTATGGTCTGTATACATCATTTTTTGCCAGCATCATTTATTGCCTGTTTGGTACCTCACGCCACATCTCTGTGGGCATTTTTGGAATACTGTGCCTTATGATTGGTGAAGTAGTTGACCGAGAAGTACATAAAGCCTGCCCTGACATTGCTACTACATCATCTTCATTAGCAGTGGTTTCAAATGGATCCGAATTAGTAAACCAGACATTAGACAGACTTTGTAACAAAAGTTCTTATGCAATTAAAATTGGCAGCACTGTGACCTTCATGGCTGGAGTTTATCAGGTAAGAAATGATGAACAGTTAGGCTGGGTGTGGTGGTCCAGCACTCAGGGCGTAGGGGCAGGAGGATCTCTGAATTTGAGGCCTGCCTGGTTTCCTGTAGTCCTAAAACTACATGGTGAGACCCTGAGACACCAGCAAAGGACAAAAAGGGAGGGAGAGACTTAGCAATTAGTTATTTCTGGCGAAAGTAATCACTATACACAAAATCTCTGGTGTGGGGGCTGTTAGGGGTTGTAGTAAAGCTACCATTTACTGAATGCTGAAGATTTGAATGGTAGAACCCAAAGCCAAACTCCACATTCCACTGGTTAAATAGGGCTGGCTTCTTGCCTGTTCCTAGGCTGTCTCATAAGCAGAGGCTGACAATCAGATTTTTATTATTAAAAACAAAATTAGACCAGAAAGGGTCCTCAGACCAGCTAGTACAATTCTTAACTTACTTTGTCGGAAACACTGGGTTTGCTTAAGCTCATGTGTGCCTGATTATTAGCCAAATTGCCATGAGTAGTCAGACAGGAGGGTGATAGATTGGGGAGGGGTGCCAGAGTCATTCAAATTACTGCCAGCTCCTGCCTTCCTTAAGAATAGCTTCTCCAGTGAGAGGTTTCTGCTAAATTTAGTAGTTCTTTTGGATTGATGAAGAGGGAGAGGAGAAGTTGAGGATCATCATTTACCAGCCAAGAGAAACAATTACAAATTAAAACCGTCTCGAGTCTCCTATGGAACCTGCTAATTTGCTGTTATGAGTATGCCCCTGCCTTTTAGCATCCAGAAATCAATACCAATATCAAACCTGCTCTCAACTGTAGGCATTTGATCCAGGAAGAATAGTTGGCTTTGGGGGGCACTTGGATGAGGTGGGAGAGATGAAAGGAAGGGGGTGATGGCTTGTGTTGCCTAGGGTCCACGTTGGCTTTCTTAGTATTTTGCACTAAGATTAGGTGGAGGGTAGTAGAATTCTTCAGACTTGGGCAGAAAGGATAGTGTTTCTGACTCAGAGGAGTTAGAGCGTGTGATTCAGTTTTAATGTGAAACCAGTTAAAATTTTACTTTCAGATGTATAGTGTTATATGCCCGTATTACATCCTAGCATTTGAGAGGTAGAGGCAGGTAGATCAGGAGTTTCAGGTCATCAAAGTTCAAGGCTACCCTGGGACCATGCCTCCAAAATTAAAATTAAAAACCTCCATTTTATGGTAATAATTTTAATTTGGAGAAAATATTTTCTTAAGTAGAAGAAAAATTTCTTAAATTTGAGTTTGTATACATTTGTTTGGAACCTTGAAAATACTCTTTGAAAGCAAGCTGAACTATGTTCCAGTTTTAAATTATTGTATAAGAAAGCAAGCTGGGCTATGGTGGTACATGCCTTTAATCCCAGCACTCAGGAGAATGAGGCAGGAGGATATGTGAGCTTGAGGCCAGCCTGGTCTACAGAGCAAGTTTGAGGACAGGCTCCAAAACCAATAAAAGAAAAAGAAAAGGAAAGGAGAAAGGAAGAGAGGAAGAAAGAGAGAGAGAGAGAGAGAGAGAGAGAGAGAGAGAGA